ATGTTGCAACTAATTTTAGCTTATGTTGCAACATTTTGTAAATTTGAAATCAATTGCTGTACCATCTTTAATCATGATTAAAACTTAGTTCCTAAAATTGATCATTAAATAATTGAGCTAAAGTATCATATGCTACTTTTTTATAATAATACACTTGTACACTTGCCTTTTTAATTTAAATATTTTCTAAAGACTGCAAAAAATTGATTTTTATTATATTAAAATGTGATACTTTATCTATTAGAAGAGCGAAAGTGTAATTTAAGTCATTCCTTGATTACAAATACAATTGTTTTCTTAAATTCATTTGTAATGTTTACAAGAAATATATAATATTTATTCAGAATAGTATTAAATATTACAAACATCTTATGATGTTGAAATTATACTATTTTTCTTTTATATTGCTTATTATATGTAGGATATTGGTAAAGTATGATTATTATAACAGTTATAAAAAAACTAGAATTTAGAATAGGTAAAAAAATAACAAATTATAGCAAATCATATTTTATGGTAACTTATAATACCTTTTTTACTATTTTAATGATTGTTAATTAAATTTAATCATACATAGAAAAGGTTGAATATACATAAAAAACTTAACCATAGAAATAACAAGATTGATTTATAAATAATGGGTTTAAATCAAGGTAATATATTTGATATCTACTTTATTATTAAGTTTATTTTTCTTTGAATATTATTTTTTGTTTTAAATGATTCTAATCATGTTAAATCTTATATAATTTCAATGTAATAATAATATCACATGGGATCATTTTTTATCTTAATATTACTGATAAGCAATAATGCTTATATATTTATAAAAAGTAATAATTTAGTTATTATTAATTTTCATAAATAATAATATTTAATTATTAAATTAATAATATAAATTCTTTATTTACTATTATTTATAATTAAAAAGCTTTTATTATTTTACAAATAAATTATTATTTAAAGGAAATTTGTTAAGATAGAAAATAAGTATTATCATTATTAATATTAATTATTAATTTAAATAAAAAGCATTAAAATACTAGAAAATATTTTTTTTTATAGACTTTAAATTAATAATTTTATTTTTATTTAATAATTAATTATAATAATTTTTATTTAAAAAATTTTATTATAATTAATAATTGATAATTTTTTAATCCATTTTTAAAAAAACTATACATATAAGAAATCCAAATAAAACTTTATTTTAATAATTAGAGATCATAAAATACTATATATATACCAATTTTTAACTTTTTAATGTTATTTTTTTTTTTTTTTTTGATTTAATTTATAAATTTTATTTAAATTTTTTTTTTTTTTTGAGATTTTAACGCACATTGATTTAAATAATAAGTAATCAAAAGATTAAGAAATGATTCGGTGTTGGGTGCCACGTATAAGTGATTATTAAACATCTGCAATCCCAAAGCTTTTAACATAAAATATGGAGATTGTGTAAACGAATAATTATTACTATAACTTATTTTTAAACAATTTGACAGGAAGCGTTTCTCTGTTTAAATATTTCGACAATCCAGAAACTTCGCTGATTTGTTCGATCATATAACCCTTTGATGATTCTTTAGATAATAAAGGTCCAACACTCATTTCCTCCCACGAATTCCAAAGTTTTTCTATTCGTGTGTTAAAAGCGTCACCTATACCGATACAAAATATTGCATCATATCCTCCAGCTAATGATTTAATTAAAAAATGATGATCTAAGTAATTTTAAACATAAATAAGCAGCTGCATATACAGAGTGATCTTTAATTTACCTCCAGGAACACCGGCCATGATTACACCAGGAATATCATTACAAGCATCAAGCAATTTCGTTTGTTTAGGTGGTTCAATAGGTACTTGCGATAGTTCAGACATTTCACGTAATAATCCTCGAATTTTCTAATAATATAAAGTTAAAATGTTAATTTGCGATTCAAAACAAATGATATAACATTGAAATATTAACCAATTTACCTGAAATGTAATGAAGATGGAAGAAAAAAGAGCAATATTGGTATTGTTCGGATTTTGTAAACCATATAAAATCCACTAGAATAAAATGAAATGTTATAATATAAACCTTGATTTTTTTAATAAATTAGGTAAAATTTCATATAATCTGTATAATTTACCTCAGAAGCCTTCACATTTTCGCAAACCTTAATAGCTATATTATACAACTCTTTATTCTGTTGATAGTTCTTATTTAATTCTTTTAAATCATTTGAAATAGCTGTATTATGGAATGCAAGTGTATCCCATAAAATATTTGCTTTTATAGAATAAATGAAATCAAATAAAGTTACGAAATGCACTAAATAAAGGAATAAAAAATTTTTTACTTAATATTGAAAGATCTCTAACCCTGATCAGCATTTTCTTTACGCCATTTTAATACTCTTCCAACCATACTTGGAGTATGCGAGCCTGCATCTATATCTGCTAATAATAATGTAAATTCAGGTGGAAGGGAGAAATTTGTCGCCTGATTATCCCATCTATTATATATTTAAATTATTTTGTTTTTTCCTTTTTTTGCTTTAAGAAAAGTTAACTTTAGAACAAAATTAAAATTTATACTTACTTATTTGAAGCTGGATCAACGATATTATTAAGAGCTAATAGATTAACCTTTTGATTCTAAGTATAATTTATTTATTAAAAAGAAATCTTTTTTTTTTAAATTTAAAAATTTAATAAATTCACTTAAATAAAATACCATAACATCTTCTAAAACGCTTGGAGAAAATCTTTTATATATATGACTTCCCCAAACAGCGGCAGATACATCAAATCCACTACCAACTTTTCCTTGTGCCAAACAATGGCAAAATTGTGCTACATTATGAATTAATCTTCTATCATCTATTTGATTTGATGTTACTTCAAAATGAACAAAAAGCGCCGCCACAAGTGATGTAATCAATGCTGCTGATGACCCTAATCCAGTTTTATGAACTTCGTTTACATTGCAATGAACTTTACAAAATGGTTCAAGAGACTTTAATGATGAGGATGTAAGTGGTAAATTCCTTTTCTTTAGCTTTTGTTATAATACGGGGGGGGGGGTAAAGAGAATTTATTATCTGGCCAATATAACGATGTGAATAAAAAAGAAGAAAAATCTACCTGTTCGCGTTGCGAATAAAAATCATTATTACCAATAATATAAATATCTAATCCTTTAGCAAATATTGCTTGAAATTTGTGTTTATTTATTCTATATAAAATAATTGATAAAGAATACTTTATGGCAATTTCAACGAACGAATTACGCTTTTCTGGGTTACTTGTATTAAAACGTACTTTACGTTAATAGAATTATTTTTAATAAGAGTAAAGTATGTTTTTAATCCATTAGCTTACATAGGTTCAAGTTCACAAGAAAAACTATCGCCTAAACTTTCAGTCACTCGATAATTCCATTCTCCGTCATTAAATTGTGGCGAATGAACAGTGATTTCTCCAAAACCATTTTTCCCCGAATAAATTATCGTGTAAAATCTTGCACTTGTTCCAATAACTATTCCATTATATTTCCTATTTAATACGAGATATCCTCCTGCTAAAAGTACTTTCCCTGGTGCTGAAACAGCAGTAGGCTGTTCGGAAGTCGTCATTGTACGATGTTATCAAAACTACCTGATTTGGAGGTATCAAAAAAAAATTTGTTTTTTGTCGATGATGTTACAGTAACCGGATCGACTCACTGTAATACAGTAATAATGGAACGCGTCTTAAAATTAGACAAGATCACGTGATTATGCAAATTATTGTTCAAAGACTTATAATGAGAAAGGTTTTGTTATAGTAGCATTTTTCAAATACTATTGAATATTTGTAATATGATTCGATAATAATTAAAGTATGTTTTTTTTATATCAGTTCCCCAAGAATCATGATTTTTGCAAAAATTTATGTTATAAATGGAAGAAATAAAATACAAATCATGCAATTCTTTTACTAAGCAATGCATGTCTCTTTCAAATCATTGTTGCCATTTCTTTAAAATCATGTTATAATGATGTGCAAAAATGGATTTCTATCGGTAAACCTTAAATTTCTAATGGTTTTAAAAAGAAAATAAATAATTAGTTATTATTATTTACTTAAATAACAAGAAAGGTCACTTCGTCGCATGATTTTATGACAATAACGGAATATAAAAATATAATATCATTATCATTAAGCTCTTTTACTGGATCTTTGATTTTGAACTTGACTATTCAACAATTGATAAAATCTATTTGATTTATTATGTTTAATTTTTTCATTTCGTAAATTTTTTTTACTATCGGTCTAAAAATCGATCCAGATCGCTAGACCGGACCGAGATCGGATTGGTCGGATCATTAAATCATCCCTAATAAAAAGAAATTATCAAGATAATCTGTCTATATTTTCTGTCTAATTCTAAATTAATTTGCATGGATAACAAAGAACAACAAAAAGCTCATAGACCACGTCAAGCTGGCTCAAAAAAGGATAAGAAATCTAAAAAGCAAAAGAAAAATGAAGAGAAAAATAATCCAAAGGTTCATAATTCTATATTATATACATATATTTAATTTAATTGAATCATTTTTCTTATTGATAAATTATTTTTTAAAGGCTTTTGCTCCGTTCTCTGGAAGAAAAGCTGAAAAACTTGCTAGACGCAAACAAGAATTGGATCAAAAGAAACTTCATGTCCCTCTTGTTGATAGGACTCCAACAGAGCCACCTCCTGTAATTGTTGCTGTAGTAGGACCTCCACAGGTACTTTAAAAATGAATTATTATTATAATTATTGTAGAAATTAAATATTAAATATATAATATATTTAAATCAGACTGGTAAAACTACTTTAATAAAATCCCTTGTCAAGAGATACACGAAACACAACCTTACAGAAATAAAAGGACCCATTACGGTCGTGAGTGGTATTACATATTTCTATAAATCAATTTTAAAATTTTCTATTTTTCGGTCTTTTTTAACCATATTTTATTTTTAATTTTTTGTATAGGTAAAAAAAGACGATTAACCTTTATAGAATGTACAAATGATATGAATTGCATGATTGATATAGCTAAAATCGCAGATTTGGTGTTGTTATTAATTGATGCTAGTTTTGGTTTTGAGATGGTGAAGATATTTATTATTACAAATTAAATTCCCGGGAAGGATTCTTTTAATAACTTTTATATATTATTATTTTAGGAAACATTTGAATTCCTTAATATTTTACAAACTCATGGATTTCCAAAAATTATGGGAGTTCTCACACATCTGGATAAATTCAAAAATAATAAGACACTTAGAACAACTAAAAAACGATTAAAACATCGTTTTTGGACGGAAATTTATCAGGGCGCCAAGCTTTTTTATTTATCAGGAATAATTAATGGTCGATATCCAAATCAAGAAATTCAAAATCTTTCTAGATTTATTTCTGTAATGAAGTTTAGACCGTTAATATGGAGGAATACACACCCTTATTTGGTTGCTGATCGTGTAGAAGATTTAACTGATCCCGAAGAAGTTAGACTCAATCCTTTATGTGATAGGACTGTTACTTTATATGGATATTTACGTGGAACAAATATGAAATCCACCATGAAGGTTCATATACCAGGTGCTGGTGATCAAATTCTGTCAGACATTTCCATACTGCCAGATCCATGTCCGTTACCTGATAAAGTGCGAAAGAGTCTTAGTGAAAAGCACAAGGTTATTTACGCACCTATGTCCGATGTCGGTGGAATCATGTACGATAAAGATGCTGTGTATATTAATATTCCTGGAAGTTTCACAAGGAAATCTGATCAAATCGATACAGAAGTTGATGATAGTAAGTTATACAGAGTTACTGTAAATATAATAATTTAACTTTTTATTAAAATTTTCTTAATCGGTAATTTAGATGGACCAGAATATGAGCAAGGTCCTGGAGAGAAAATGGTCATACATTTACAAGATGCTCCAGATACACTTGCAGATAAATTAGAAGAAAGTGAACTTACAATTTTTGCAAATTCCGCTCCGATGAAAGCTTCAGATTTAGTTGAAGAAGTTAATTCTGGTACTTTCTTATTTTCTTAGTTTTCAACACTATACTTAATAGTCGAAACTAATAATGAATATGAAATATTTTATAGGATCGATAGATTCTAAACAAATAGATGAGAATATTCGTGGTCGTCGTAAGGTTAGGTTTGCAGATGATGTTAAAAAACATGATGGTGGTGAACAAGAAACGGATTCAGATGAAGAGTCCGATTTTGAAGAAGATTACGATGAATTTGAAGAGAAGGTATATTTCGAAGATGATGACGACTATGATGAGGAGGAGGATGACGATTACATAGAGGAGGAAGATGACGAGTACGAACAGGAGGATGATGACAACTGCGAAGTGGAGTATAATGGTAACGATGAAGAAGATGACGAAGAGGAGGATGACGAAGAAGAGGATGACGAAGAAGAGGAAGAAGAGGATGAGGATGAAAAAGAGGACGACGAAGGGGATGAGTGGGAAAAAGTTGCTAGTAGAAGTTTTGCTTTCAATAGAGTTAATATGAAGAATCCAGAAATTAACGACGAAGAGATCGCATATGCCGAAAGCGACAGCGATATAGAAGATATTTTAGGTCAAGGCGTGGATGATGACCCGGCTCTTGATGGGTCATTAAAATGGAAATCTAATTTGGCCGAAAAAGCAAAAAAGATGTTCTTTTCTAATCGTAGAATTAATATTATGCAATTAATTTATAGTAATGAAAAAACGCCGGAAGAAATTGCATCTGGGAAATTTTCTGATTTATTAAAAGTTGAAGCAGCATCTAATGAAAAAGACAATGTAGAAGAGGAGGAAAACGATGAGGAATTTTTCAAGATTATAAAATCTCAAGATAAAGATTCTGAATCTATGAATACTATTGATTCCACCAAAACTTATTTAGACATAAGTAATCTCGATAAATGGGACGACGAAGTAGTTAGTATCATACGTTTCATTTGTCTCGTTGTTTGAGTAATATTCTGATTTCGAAATTCTTTTTTTATTTTTTCCAGATGTTAGAATCTATTAGAAATAGATTCATTACAGGCAGTCTTGAAGATGATTCTTCTGTGGGAGAAAATGACAGTTCAGATAATGAAGTTCATGGGGACTTTGAGGATCTTGAAACTGGTGAAGTGGTAAAAGTTGAGGGATCAAAAAAATCCGAAAATGAAATTGAGCAAGAAGCTCTTGCACAAAAAAGAGCTTTGTTAAAGAAAAAATTTGATGCGGAATATGATGAAAAGGATGGTACCCCCAAGGTTGACTTTTATGATGAGATTAAAGAGGGAATTTCTAAGCAATTACAACTTAACCGTGAAGAGTTTGAAGATGATGATTCTCATACAAGAGCTATGGTTGAAGGATTTCGACCTGGTACTTATGTTCGAATATTACTCAGGAGAATGCCATGTGAATTTGTGAAATATTTTGATCCGGCATATCCTATCATAGTTGGAGGTCTATTAGCAACTGAAGAAAATTTAGGATTTATACAGGTTAATCAACAATTATACGTGGAATACTGTACTTATTTTGATAAACTTACAAATTTGTTTGATTATAGGTTCGTATAAAGCGACACCGATGGCACAAAAAGATCTTAAAGACTAAAGATCCCCTTATATTCTCACTTGGATGGAGACGATTCCAATCAATGCCTATTTACACTTTGAATGATGGGACAAGAAACAGAATGCTCAAATACACTCCAGAACATATGCATTGTCTAGCCACATTTTATGGTAGATAATTACTAAATTCATTGCTTCTTACTATTCCTAATAATATTTAAAAATTATTTTTTATTTAAAGGACCTATTCATCCGCCTAATACTAGTTTTTGCGCAGTGCAATCTGTCTCTAATGATAATGCAGTAAGCCACTTAATAGAAATATGAATTGTATTTATATTATAACGTTTATCACAAGTTTTGTAATATGATTTTTATTCGTAGGCTACATTTAGAATAAGCGCCACTGGAGTAGTACTTGATATTAATCATTCTGTTGAGATTGTTAAAAAATTGAAATTGACAGGTGCTCCTTACAAGATTTTTAAGAATACAGCTTTCATAAAAGATATGTTTACTTCTGCGTTAGAAGTGGCAAAATTTGAAGGAGCTGCGATTCGAACCGTATCAGGAATTCGTGGTCAAGTGAAAAAACCGATAACGGTAAATAAATTCTTAATATTTATCTCTATTTATTATCATCAAGTTAACTTTGATTCTTTATTTATAGAAACCTGAAGGTCACTTTCGCGCTACTTTTGAAGATAAAGTGTTAATGAGTGGTATGAAGCATAAAGTTTCTTGAATTGGACTTGATGTTTAAAGGAATTGTATTCATACTTTATTTTAAATATTTCAGATATTATATTTTTACGAGCTTGGTACCCAATCATCCCAAAGAAATTTTATAATCCTGTGACATCATTATTGTTATCATCCAAGAAAGAGTGGCAAGGCATGAGGTTAACGGGACAAATCCGCAAAGAATTGGAACTTACCCCACCAATAAATCCAGATTCTCAGTATAAGGTTTTTTAAAATTAATTTTATCCTATTTTATATATTTAAAAAAATATATTAAAGTATAACAATTTAATAACTTATAATAGAAAATCGAACGGAAAGCTCGTCGTTTCAATCCTTTACATATTCCATTATCTTTACAAGCAAATTTACCTTTTGCAAGTAAACCAAAAATACTTAAAAAGAGAACTAAACAAACATATTTACAAAAACGAGCTGTTGTATTAGAACCAAAAGAAAAGAAAATGTATACACTTATGCAACAAATTAATACCTTAAAGAAAGAAAAGGATAGAAAGCGTAAGGAAAAACAAGTCAAAAAACATCACGAATACGCCAAGAAAATGGCCAAACGAGATACTATATTGGCCGAAAAGGATAAGAAAGAAAGAAGAGAATATTTTAGAAAACAAGGTTTATTACAAAAAAGAAGTGCTACGTATTCTGAAGGTTCATCCAAAAGATCTAAAACCAGTTAGAAAATATTTATCATTATACCTACAGTAACATATTTAATCATATTTAAGGAAAAAAAAAAATTTCCTATATGAAATTTCATGCTAACATATGTAACAGTCTAGATAGTCTAATTCTATTTTCTTAATATCGATCGATGTTGATATATAGCGCGTTTTAAGGAATTTATCATTTGTTGAAATCTTGGATAACATTTACATACAAAATAATAAAATGTTCATTTTGTTTTATTTAAGACGGTTCAATATATCAAAAAAAAAAAAAAAAAAATCAAAAAATCAAATTCAAATTCAAAGAAAATAAAATACAAATCATTATAGTAATTATAAAAATTAATTATGATTTTCCTCCCATTTTTTTTTAAAAAAAAAGTTATGAATCACCATATAATGTCTCATCGATTTCATCAATTTGCCGTTTGAGTATGATTGCATCATTCTTCCATTTACTTCCCAATTCTTCAATATTATTCAGCAATTCGAGTTCTATCAATCGTGGGGCTGTCTCATATCGAGGATTTGGACAATCTTCATAATCGAAAGCATCTTGTAATTTCCGCTTTCGATCACGCTCCAGCATTTCTCCTCGACGACATAAGTATTCAATTGAATGCATTGGTTCTGGCACTTGCACTACGTCAATTGGCGGAGAAGCAAACCACAAAACGTTGCCCATATGATCACGAGCAAAATATTCCGCAGTCTCAGGAGGTATTTCCAACACTTCTCCAGATTCAGGTATTGGTTTCGACATAGATGGGACTATTGGCTGCTGCACCGTAGACGTTGCAGGCGCTATGGAAGTTGTGGGAACATTAGACTCTGAATCTACTTGATAATATGGTTGAGCCAAATACTGTGAAGGTATAGAATGAATAGAAGGCATGGGTGTTTCTTGAGGTGAAGTTACAAATCCATATTGATGAGCTACCCCAGAATTTTGCACATTATCAGGAGTGGAAGTAATTGGGTATCCCGATGTCATTGAATATGGGGACTGCGGAACACTGGATGTGTAGGGTGTCAAATTATCAGAATCATCATAATTTGTCGGATACTTTTGATAGGTTGCAGGCTCGAAATTTTTATCAGTGCTTTGAGATTTCGGAGGTCGTCCAACTCTAGAATTTCTAACACGAGCCGTTTGCGAAGGAAAAAAGGGATCTTCCGGATGAGAAGAATCTGCATCATATTCGTATTTGGCTAGCAATTCTTTTCTGAGTTCTTCGGATTTAGCTTTGAACCTTTGTTTTTCCTTAGTTTTGTCCCTAGGTTTGTCTTTCTGTTTGTCTTTAGGTTTGTCCCTAAGTTTCTCCTTGTTTTTCTCCTTGGTTAACTCTTTATTTTTCTCCTTTGACTTTCTAAAGTTCGCCGCCAATGAACTCTCAACTTTTTTTAGAACCAATGGTTTGTCAAATCTAACAAGATTTATTTTCTTCCCCGGCCACTTTTTTATTTTGATGAAATTCGTTTGTTGTTCACTATAACGAGATTTACAAAGATACACAGACGTACCATCACTACCTTCTGGTCTTCCTGCAATATAATCCTTATGTTGCAAAACATAACACTTTTCGACGACATCATTGAAAGAAATATCGAGAAATCCGCTTGTTTTGAATACTTCATTTTCATAAAATTTGTGAGTAGCCTGGTGTTTGGTTTGTTCAGGACGATAATACCAACATACATGAGAACATTTATCACCTTCTTTATTTTCCCAGATTTTCTGAATATGAGCAATGTTTGGTAAATTTGGATCAACTTCATTAAATATATGAACAAAATCGCCAACATGATAAATTTCTCCATTATGCTCAATTTTTTCAAGATTTGTTGAACCATTAACAGACTTGTCCTGTTCCTTATCTCCTCTCAACAATTTACGTGCAAATTTTTGTATAATTATGGCATCGTTGTGTACTTGTGAACCTTCAATATTATAAACCTTTGCATTACTACACATCAAATCCAGATCTTTTTCAAAATCTTCTTGTGTCAAATATTTTCCGTCGACAATTCTTTGCTTCATCATATTAAGGGAAATTGGGTTTTTGATTACTCCATAATAATCAGGATATAATTCTTTATCCGGTAAATTTATGAAGAGCTCTGAATAAGTCCTGCCTTTATTATCCTTGAGTTCTTTAATGGTTTTCCATATTAAATTTAATTTAGCTGCTAAAGGGGAGGATTCCTCTGGAGAGACGGAGGCTTGGGCCGAAGCTCTTCTTGTTTGAACGCTCAGAGTTTTCGTATCCACAGCAATTGTGTTTTGGGCAATTGTATCAAGGTCCATTTTGGTTCTTTTGCTTCTGGTGATCCTAAGCCTAGTCATTTTTAGTTGAAAAACTTTTGTTTTTTTTTCTTGATGGATTTTTACAGATTAAAAATGTTCTGTGGCTTGGGTTTTTGCTGAGCCCCTGAAATTTGATATTGAGAAATCAGAATTAATTATATAATATAAATTTTCCGACCATAACACAAACACAAAAAACACAAACTTCCTTATTAATTCCCTTGAAATGAAAAAAAAAAAAAACTAGCATTTTTTCGCGTTGTGCTGATCATTGGATCATGTGACATAATTACATGTTTTTGATTTCCCGATTATTCCAATATCGAATATTTATTTTGAATATTTGAAACAAATGGCTTCGATTCGTCCAAAGTTTTCGTCTTTAAGTTTAGAAGTTATTGAATGGTGTCAAAATCTAAAAATTCTTGAAGAAAAAGTGAGTTTTTATACTTAAAATAATATTGATCTAATATCATTAATTAAAACAATTAATTTATATAATAGCTTGAGAAAAATCAATCACAAAATGGAGGAGAAATTCTACTAAATATGATACTTATAGAAGAAGAATTTCTTAGAGAGGTTTTAATCCTTAGCAATAATCCTTTAACGTACTCATTAACCACTGCACAATTCCATTTGATTAAAGCAGCTTGCCTGGTACATAAATTGGGGCAATAAATTTTGTATAATTTTGCTGTACACGTTTATTTGAATTAACTTAAATTTACTTCCTTTTTATAAGGTTATACGTAAAACGCGTTTATGTTTGCAACGAATTGAAGAATGTACTCCAATAAATGCACAACCAGCGTTATTCCACGCTTTTATTTATTATGGACAGTAAGTATGTTATTTATTTTGCTTGATTTGATTATTAAATCTAATAACCAAAAAAAAAAAATTCTTTCCTTTAGAGATCTTATTGGCGGGGATCCACGTACTGATCCTGTCATTTTATTCCACCGATGGACAATTAGATCAAAATATAAACACATAGACTTTGGGTATGAATTTGATAAAGGTGAAAAATCAGTTAAATTATTGGAAAATCTTTATCAATCTTTGTCAAAAGAATTTGAGGTATAATAAAACAAGGGTGATTTACATTCGGTAAATATTCATGTCTCACGTTTTGCTTTTATTAATTAGGATTCTGCTACGAGTACGGATGTTCCTAGTCCTACTTCTATATCGATCCATAACATATTCCGATGTCAATTAGCATATGAACTAGGGGAATATTATTTTTCAGCTGATAAAAGGAAATCTATCGAATATTTATGTAAATGTAGACTTTCGGATGACAAATATTTTGAAGAATATAATTCATTTTGGTTCGTTATTGATTATCGGTTTTTTTTACGGATTAAAGTTAGTCAAATATTTGTCAATAATTTCTATTATTTTTATTTTTTTCAAAGTGATGTAAACATATCACGTGTTGATAAATTAATCAGAGCTCAATTGGAAGTCCTAACAGTACTTTCCCCAGAACAACAAATTAATCACTTTATACAATTTGGACAAGACTATGAGGGCATTTTCTTGGTGATGCTTAGAGCACTTTTGGATAATATATCATTAAGAATTTCCAAGGATTTTCGAAACATGGTAGTTTATAATGCGTTCAATAAAGGTCAAAAAAAATCTGCTATCAAGATTTCCATATGTAATGCTTTCGAATTGCCGCCAGGTTCATCTTCAGGTAATTATTAAATCATATATTTACAGATTATTTTCTTTAAATACGAAATAATCAATTTTTATACTTAATGTTTAGAGGAAATGATAAATTTGGTTCCAGAACAATGTTTTCATCATCTTAATCATAATTTTGATGAGCGTATAATTGAAGAGATAGTTAAGTTAATCAAGACATTATATGGTAACTTTCCCGGTTCAAAGATGAGTGAGAGCCAAAAAAACTTTGTTTCTAGCTTTTTCAAAAATATCGACAATAGTAAAGTTTGGAAAATTCTAAAAAAGATCGAAGGTATTTATAATTATGAATTAAATACAATCTGTGGTCAGATTTTAAAAAAATTTTTATTTTATTTAATTCATAGGTTTCGAATTTGTACAATATCCACTTGAACATTTCTTTGATGAAATCGCACAATTTAGTCTTAAATATAAGAATTATAAATCTGGGAATTTGGAGTTAATTGATGATACTTCTACTAATAAGTTAGACGTTGAACTCGATTCTTTATTAAAAGAGTTAAATGTAAACATTTAGTATCATATTATCGTTATTAAATATTGGTAAATTAACAAAAATAAAAATAAATTTTACTGAAGCGAGTTCAATTCTTTTACAGCTGGTGAGTCCGGAACGCCACGAAGCAAATAATGATGTAAGTATCATGCCGACGAAGTAATGAGAATTTTACATCATAATAATTCAATATTTTATTACAGGTTGATATATCTATAGAGGAAGTCAACCTAAATCAAACAAAACAGCAACGTTGGTTGGAGATCACGGACTCAATAAAAAAATTACGAGAAGATTTAGATGTTGGAAACATTGAAGAGATTGAAAATTTATGCATCGATACTCTCGACAAATATGGAATTATGGAATTTCAAATTTTGGTATGTTTTATTGAAAACGGATTGATAATTGATAACCGAGAGATTTATTGATTTATTCCTTTGATTAGAAAGATTTATCTTGTGAATTAATGGAATTTTGCCGCTGGCAATTTCTTAAACAATTTTTAAAGAATGTACAAAAGTTGAGACTTAAAGATGAATTCAAGAGTGTGTAGATTATTCCTTTTTTTTTTTTTTAATGAAAGTGCGTATGTTCTAATATAATTAATTAATCATCTAAAAAGACAAAATAATCGAGCATTTTCGATTTTGTAAAATAATGACATCATGTATTGGGATCTTGGAGCCATTTACAGAATTTTCACAAGGTAATATGTCACTATATTTTTTATTGTTTCAGAGGAATAGAAACTAATAAAATTTTTTAACCAAACATCAATAACATCATTATTATCGTTTATGAAAATTATAGATATTTCAAATGGTTTTGATGCTACAATGTATAAAAAACAGTTTGATATAATGTCTAACATAAGCTCTGATGATATTAAAAATTTGAGAGCGTATTCGATGAAATTTTTTAAGGCGCTATCTTCTAGAGGAATAGCTTATAAGGTATAAATTGTTCTTTAGCATTATTTGATATACATTGATATTAATAATTCATTCATTAAAGGAACATGTCTTTGAAGTTATTGCTAATCTTGTACATCAAAAATGGATTCACCAAGTTATCGGAAGTATGCTTGCTGGATATTTATGTGGACGGCAACGTGATCAGAAATTGAAGGTATGTCGCGTTTTATGTGTTATTAAATAATTGACAATTAATAGATTTTGATATAAAATAATCTTTTTTTAGCAAGTTAATCCCATGCTTTACGGTCCATTAACAATCATAATGATGCCTGCTGATTGTGCAGTAAGATATTGGCCAGATATATCGTAAGTTCTTTAATCTTGTCATTTTTGTATATGAAGCGATTGCAAATTAACAATATTTATATTTAAAGATTTCGCATGTTGCAAGTCTTGAACGAAAATATTAAACCAATTAGGTTTGATTTGTCTTATGCATTAATGCAACTTTGCTTTGAATCGAGGAAAAACAATTTTCCTAAATATATTTATGAACTTCGCCTAGCTGATTTATATCATTTGCAAGGCTTTACTTCAAAATCACTTAGGTAATTTTTTTTATTTGTGATTAAATTTGCGCGGACTTTTTATAAATATATTTTATATATAAAAATAGGAGTATCATGAACGCATTTATTTCACACTCTTCTTTCTATATGAATATGAAAAATATTGAAGATAATATCTGGCATTCTTATGCAATTCCCAAAATGATTCAATGTTGCCTATCTAAAAAAGGTAAGTGCTTTAAAAAACCATATTTTTTTCTTAAAAAAAATTATTATTAACTACCTCCGTTATAACAGAAATGATTGCTGCATTGGTATGGCATCAATTTATACGGGGTAACGTTACTTGGCAGGAAAAATATACATTAACCACTAAAGTCATTAATAATGGAATATTGCAATCTTCAATATTTACTAGATTTATATATGAAACCAAATTATTATTACATGTTGTCGGTATCCTTTTTTAAAAACCTTTTATTGATCTTTGTTAACATCGAAATTTGATATTTTCTTTAATTCCGAATCAATTTTTTTCCAGACACTTTGCATAAAGAAGGAGAGCTTTCTAAATGCAGTCAAATCGTAAGTTGAATAATCATTCACTACTTTTTACTTTACATTTTCAAATTAATGAGTGGAATTTTTTTTTAATAGATCGAATGGCTAAAATCTTCAATACAAGAAGAGACACCTTCAATTGCTAACAGTTCTTATATTAGCTTTGATGCATCTTTGCTAAGTGGTAAACATGGTGACTCTACATACAGATTAAAAAAGAAATTAGTTGGAGTGGATATCGACCCAAATTATCGCAAAGTTAAAATTGATGAATTACAATTTGAATTTTTGAAAACATTTAGCTTATGGATTGATGAACAATTAAAGGTAAATTTATTTTTATTTTATTTTGTTTTGTTTTTATAGTTGATGGTAAATACTTTAATAATATTTATGTTAACAGGACGAAGAAAGGCAATTATATATAGCTGTAATCCTTGATTATCAATATGTATTCGTTATATTTCTACTATACATACGTTCGTTTATATCACCTTTATATAATAAGATAAGAAAATTGTAATCAATAATTTTTTAAAAAATATGGGTAGTATTCTATTAAAATTGAGGTACGGATCATATGATTTACTATGTCTCGTAACCCACTTTTAATAGATCAGCTCCCATATATATATATATTAAAAAAAAAAAAAGTTTTAGAAGTTATTGTTATTCTCTATTTGCCCAAAAATATATAAATAAATAATTTGTAAATAATACACTTAAAAAATGGTTTCTTTATTTATCTAGAGAGTTTTTACTTAAAAGAATCGGAAATATCTGTGTTCCTCTTGACAAGTTTTTCAGAAAACAAAAAAAAATTACATTACTCACATCTTATTTGACGATAAAACGTAAGTGAAACAATATCTGATATTAGTCCTGGAGCGACCATTATGGTCTAGGCTGCGTGATACAAATATCCGTCTGTTCCGCCCACTCATCGTCTGAGTTGCTACTCGTTGAACATTGTAAAATCCGTTTTTGTAAATTTTATTCAAAATAAAATAGATTTAAAAACGTTTCCGTTCCCCGTACATTATTAATTTACTGGTGATAAAGCTAAATATAATTTTGATAACAAAGGAAAAATTCAATTTCATGTACACTGATTTTAAGGTCTTCTTTTGATAGAATGTTTTCGTGAAAAGCCGCCATATTGATGCACCATACCTATTTAAGGAAGGATCATTTGAATTGTTTCCTATTCATATGACAAAAATGGGTAATAATTTTCGGAAACTTGAAAGTTCAATAACACCAATAAACAAATCAAGTTAAGTTACACTTGTAGATGCATATCTGAATGAACATACTATATTAAAGAACTAGTACGAATATTCGGAAAAAATAGATACTCGATTGAATCTCATGAATTTCGACAAGTGTTTTTTCAACGGACATTATATCTTGAGAGTCATTTTTATCTAAAGAATAGCGAGAACAATTTATATATGCCCCAACAAAATAACAATTTTTTTTCATTATCAAAAAATTTTTGTAATAAAATTAAAATTATTGTTTGTGGAACAAACATTCCATTCGTACTAATCTATGAAAATATATTTGGTGCAAGATATAAAGATAAAATACATTTGTACAAAAAATTAAATCTTTATATCAATGAACCCTAAAATAAGTTTCATGTAGATGTGAATAATAAACAATTCATTACATTTGTATAAAAAAAAAAAGAAGGTAAATTACAAAATTTTCATTGTAGAGAATAGTTACTATATTAAGGATAATTAATATGTCGTGTGGGAATGCAAATGTGCCAGGTTAAATTACAATATGTATTGGATGATTTCTGTAAGATGATTTTATTCTATATAAGACGCGAAAACAAATATTAATTAAAAGATTTAGAAGTTTATTCGTTCAACAAATAATAAATAATGTGGGTATTTGTTTTTTTAAGATGTTTCAATTTATAATTTCTGTATAAGGAATATAATTCTAATCATTAATGATCCCTTAAAAGATTACATTCAATTCACGGAACTTGCATAAAAATCACGAAATGTAACATTAAAAAAAAAATTTGTCGTGCGATTCTCATGAGAAGATGCAAAGATAAACGTTATATGATTTCTATATACGGAATAGAATTCTAATCTTTAATGAGCCCTTAAATGATTACATTCACATGCAAGTATTCAAAATTGTAACGTTTGTACTAAAAATAAAAATAAAATGTCGTTACGAAAGATACGAAACAACGAAATTTTTTTGCGGTGAAACATTAACCTTCCTTTTCCTTATCAAACTTTATCATTCTGAAACAAAATATTGCATCATGTCCCTCTTGTAAGAGCAATTCTCCTGAACCAAAATATCATGTTTCATGTCACTCTTGACCTTTTGCTCCAAGTTGACCCTCCTTTTTCGTACGACCAAAATTGTATAAAATAAATCGTTTTTTTCATCACCTTTTACGATCAGATCAAATTAAAAAATCTATACATTAAAAAAATATGATCTTGAAATCTATACATAAAAAAATGCTTAATTTTCTTTTTCGTTATGATCTTGAAATATCTAAAAAAAATAAACCTATATTAAACAAAAATGTTTAATGGTCATTTCGTTATGACCTTGAAATAATGTCGCGACGTGTTTCCACTTCGGTTTCGTTTGTTACCGCCTTGAAATAACGTCGCGACAATTTCCGCCTCGGTTTCGTTGATATAACCTTTATCAGGCTCATTTCATTGTCCTAAACGAAACCAACATCAACGACACCGAACGACACCAACAAGACCAACGACAACAATCATCACTACTACACCAACAATACCACAGCAACATTATCTTTGAAATGGCAACACCATCCTTCATAAATAGTAGCAACTCCACATAAACCTAACCCTCCCGTAACAGCAACCACACCAACCAAATAAGTTTTTTTCCCCAGAATAAATTGGTTATTCATCCTCCCTCCCCCTTATTAAAAAATTTTTATAATAATTTATCTTTTTATAAATTTTATTATGATTATAAATAAAATTCAATTAAATGTGATTTTAAACCTTTTAAAAAATTCGTTGACTTTTATACTTTTACAAATAAAACAATAAAACTGTAACCAATTAAATTTAATTTTGAATACAATTGACAGCCCTTGATGTACAATGTACGTGTTTATGGATCTCGATTAAAAATCAGATCGATCTGTTTGACAAACTTTGCATGTGATCGAACATTTAACTGCTTGAAGTTAGAAAAGATCTAATATACCAATTGCAATAATTATATAACAAATTGCTCTTTAAAATTTATTATATCTGAAGGTCTACTTATTAAAAATTCGAAAAAATAAATTATTTCTGACTTTTTTAGCGTCCCAAACTTTCGGCCATTAAATCTTAATTCTTTTATTTTACATTTTTATCAATAGATATCCAGCACAAAGCCCGGGAGAACTTTTAATGAAATGTGAGTGGGATTCAAAATTTATTTGGTAGACGACATCATTATTTACATTACGGGTATACTGTATATTCTAACTCAAGCAGATTTACATATCGTTCAATTGAGATTCTTTCCTAAATAAGTAAGATCAAAAAAACAAGTAGCCATCATCAATTTGTCTACTTACTTCGACACCATTGTAATGTTTTACTGTGAAAATTCTGAGAGATCTACTGTATGCGCGTAGATTCGTCAATAAAACAACAATAAAATTCGGGTGGAGCATTCCTTCTGAATATTAAAATTAAAAAAATGGTAGAAGACATGCTATATTTAGCATTTAATTGCAACCCGAGCATCAGGGCCTAGAATATTAGACAATTTATAAAATCGCTCCAATAGTTTTTAGTAAAATTTTATACCCTACTGAGTTTGGAGGCTTTATTTCAAGCTGATCCTCAAAAAGGTTCATTCGAAATAGCCAGGTTTGCAGTCAGGAATAACAAAATTCTGTGGGATATGACATTTTTGAAAAAAAAGTGAAAAAAGGTACAAATACAGAGTAGAGTATGTTTCAGAAATTTGTGAGAAAAATAAATAATGTGTTTGGTTTTTATGAAAATTCTCTTTCAAGAATCACATGGATAAATCAATTTCGAAATGCGAATTTTCCCCAGTATATCAATCATGTGAATATAAATTCAGCGACATACTCACGATACATTCGTGAAAATCAAAATTATGTATTGTAATGAATAAACGTACAATTTGTCACGCTTAATGAAGATACCTATGCATGATATAGTAAAGATAAATTAGTAATTATTACGTAAAGGTAATAAAGGTTTCTACAAATTTGCTTATAACAATTTCATTTGATAATTGTATGGGAATTTCGGCAGGTCAGGTTGAAGGGATAGTACAGTTGCTCGCAAAAGAAACGCGATGCTTGAATTAATGTTTTAAATTAATTTATTTTTCATTTTTTCATTTTTTGGTATCACAGTATTTTGCGGTACGAAATTTGAAATCAGATTTATTTTTCTTACAATTAGTACAGTTTCTAGAATTATGCTTAATATTTTGATAACATTTGAGCTACATAAATTTAGAAATTTAATATTTAAATATCATACTTCTTTGCAAGAAATTGTATCTATAAATATTATCCAAATAAAAATATTCAAAATGTAATATAATACCTATTATTTAAATAATCATCTATCTTTTTAATAGATTATAATAAATCAAGCAAGAACATTTAATATTTCCCTATAAATATAAAATTTAAGATATTAATTTGGAAAAGGAATATAAAAAATACTAAATATATAAAGTAATACATTTGTTTTACACTTTCCTCCCTTCCCAAAAATCCCAAAAATCCCATTATTAATTAATTTTGTTCCGCCTCATTTTTCATATCACGTTATATCTTATCGATTATTATGAAAAGATCTAAACCATTCCTTCTATTTACACATTCTTGCATAAATAAATCTTTGCATTGTAAAAATGTTTCTCAAAATGAAAGTACAGTTGAACCTCTATATAATGAATCTTTTTTAGAGGTTACAATGCATTGTAATAAGAAAATTCAGTAATGTTTTACCGAATTTTAACAATTTATTCGATATATACAGTGAGACCTCTCTAAATGTACCCCCCTTAGGACCATAGTGAAAATTTAAAAAAAGTGCATTTAAGGAGGTCTCACTATAGTAGGATTGGAAATAAATCATATTCATTGAACTTCAATAATTAAATGATCTAACGGATCAGATCCAAATGATGCAAGATGCATAAATAAATCGTTGGTCAATAAATCTTAATAAATAATTATCTTTTGGGATCTATTAGCTAATATGTAATATAATTTATATTTATTTTAATCCTTAAACCTTAGAGTATATCCAATAAAATTTGAAGTGCAATTATTAATAACAATTTTATGCAATTTAGTAATCTATATTTAATGTTATTAATTAATAAAATTTAAGCATATAAAATTTTTCAGCAG